AGGATGCCCCGCAGGCTCCACCTCCGTCTCCTACCGCATCCACCAGCTGGAGTTGTGGGCCCGCGACAATCTGGGCTTCTCGCCCCCCGCGAGCCCTGGGACTGAGTTTGGCGACGGCAGGGCAGGCAGGCCTCCGGCTCGACGGAAGTCCATCTGATGGCCCTACCCCTGGCCGGAGCTAGATCCTAGAACCGGAGGGTCTGGACTCACCTGTCGGTGCACCCTCCCCAGAGCTTGGAGAGGGGTGAGGGGCTGTGGCCTCAATGCCGTCCTCTGCCACAAGCGGCTTCTCATTACCTCTTGCGGCAAGCCCCTCCCTCCTCTTCAAAAATATATTAAAGTCGCATCATAAGCACAAGCACGACTCTAAAGTCACCCCGAATGCACACAGTATTGCCCTTGTGATCCAAATTGTTTCAGGAGGGCGTGGCACATCACAGGCCCATGTCACTAGCTAGCCCAATGGAGCGGAAGCAGGTGCCCATATTTCTGTTGTGTGAAGAGGTGGGTTTCCGTGTTGCAGGGGAAATGCACGACTTTCAACACTGGAATCCTACCTGTGAGGCCAGCTGCTCCCTCTGTGACAAGCAAAGGGATCAGATGGACTGAAGGGAAACACTTACCGTCCAGTGTGAACCAGTGGGCAAATCTCTGCAATATTTAAATGATTACTCATTCTCTTACTCAGTGTGTGCGGTGGAATTGGCCCCACCCCCAAATGCGATGCTCCTTGTCCTTGGCCTGACCCCTTTTGCAATGCAGGGGGCCTTCCCTACATCATGTCTCTGGGACTACCTGGATGTTGTCTTTTCTGGGAACTGTGAGGTCACTCACAATGTGACTTCGGGGAATCTCATTCCCTCCCTGGGCCTCAGTTTCCTGTAAAATGACTGGGTTCACACATAATTCTGTTCCCTTCTGTGCATTTCTGGAAGGGTTCCTGGGACAGGCCTGGGCCCCATGAGGGGGCATTAACAAAGCTGACGTCCCGTAGCACTCAGCTCTTTAAAACTAACGTCCCAAATTGAACTGTGTCAACACAAAGCAGAGCAAGCCAGGTTAGAAAAGCCAAAAACTTTAATTTTCAACATGAGCTACATGGTCATGAACACAATGCAACGTGACCTGCTCCAACCCAGGGGCCCTGGAAACCCTCCCTCCCCCAAAGCCCGAGGGGCTTCTGCTCCCAGAGAGGGAAAGGGGAAAGGTGAGTGAGCGGAGAGTGGGCCTGAAAACCAGGGGTCCAGCCTTCTTGCCACCCTCTCAGGGGGCAGTGGTAGAGGAAAAGGGCTCGAGAGGATGCCTGAGGCCCCGGGTTCAAGTCTTCACTTCATCCTCACAGAAGCTGAATCAAACGGGCAGTCAGCGCCTCCCACACAGAGCTGGAGAGTTGGATGAGCTCGTGGACATGGAAGCTTCCTGTCTGCTCGGAGGTGCTGCTATACAGACACGGGGCCTCCCGGAGCCCAAGGGAGTCGTGACAGGGGAACGGGGGATGGAAGTGGGGCACCCCAGTCCCCCGGGCCTGGCACAGCGCTGCTGCTCAGTAAATAAATGCAGGTGGCCTTGCCGGACGCAGCAGCTGTGCTCCAAGAGCAGCGAGGCTCAGAGCTGCCCTGAGCACCTGGGTGTCCCTGTGAGCGCCTGCTTCAGGGAAATGGGTGGTAAATCAACTTGCAAAGTGCATGACCTCAACTCTTTGCTTCACCCCAGGTCAAAGAAAGATCTCTCAACTGTTAGAGAACAGAGTTCTCGTCCAGGCTCAGCTGCCAACTCATAGTTGGACCTTAGCAGGTGCCTTCCCCTCCCAGGGCCTCAGTTTCCTTTTCTGTAAAACAGGGCTGATAACACAGGCCCCCACCAACTGCTTAGGGGCTCCTGGGAGGGTATCTGCGAGGTAAAAGCACTTTGAGAACAAAAAGGTTTGCAAAGCACTATGGGAAGATCAGTGTTATCACATCTGAAGGTTTGGTGAGGATTTCCTTAAGATGAGGTGGTCCATAGCCGCCTCACTCCCACACAGTCCCAGGGAGGGCCTGGTGTCTTGCCTCCCTCAAGTTGGCCCTGGAGGGACGATGGCCCCTCAGTGGGAGCCCCCACTTAGACATCAAGGCCTGGACCAAATCCTGCACAGCCTCAGTCAGCCAGGCCAGGCCCCCAGGAGAACAAGGTCTCTATGGCAAACTTTTCCTCCAAACCATGGCCCAGAAAAGTTACTGGCCCATCGAGGTGGAACCAAGTAGGGCTGGGTGGCCCAGGGCTTAAAGGCCACAGATATTTATCATGGCAGATGTGCCCTGGAGCAACGGGCTCCTGTCCCATTAAGATGGGAGCACAGTGGGCCCCCCGCTCTGGCCCCACGGCTCACTTGCTGATGGGTCATGTCTTGGGCAAGTCACTTCCAGATTTGAAGCCGCAGACTCCTCCCCTCTCAGATGGGCTACAGTTCACCCTGCCCATCTATTCAAGGCCCCTGGGAGGCTCCAGGGAGGGAAGGGCGGAGGCAATGTTGTGGGAAATAGCGGCCCCACCTTGTCCTGCCCTGTCTCCAGCTCAGCCTCGGGTGGACGAGGAGACCCAGGCAGGGGGAGACATAAACTCACAGGGGACCCCAGAGGTGACTCTTCCCCACCCTGGGCCTCGGTCTCCTCATCTGTAAAATGGAAATGACTCCACTGATGGTCCCAAAGCCCTTTCCCTTTAGTATGACAGGCAGATTTTGGAGAAGGAAAGTGGCAATGACTCCCTCCCATGGTACCCCTGCATGTGACCTCCAGCCCAGAGACTGAAAAGCGAATTGTTCCCTAGAGACCCCAGCACCCCCACCCCTAATCCCCCCAGCTCCACACTCTGCTTCTCTCCAGATGGTGGAGTTTGAGCTGGCAAAGGATCAGACAGAAGTGGGCTTTAAGGTTCCCCAAATCTAATAATGAGAATCATCAGCCCCTTCCCAAACCCCTATCCCTTGGTGAGGACAGACGGTGATTCCCACGCCAAATGATCAGAGCCCCCTCGGAAGGCGGCCATGTGCTCACGACAATGATACAAAGAAAGAGGGCTCCAGCCCCCCTCCCACCCCTCCAGGAGGTGAGCTGAGATTTCACAGAACAAACAAGAAAGTCATTGAGGGGGGCCCTCGGTGACCACCCTCTGGATGTTATTGCTTTGGAGCGCTCTCTCTCTTTATAAAGGCTGTGCAGACACCTGAGGGTGGGCTCAGGCTGGGGTGCACAGACTGCGCCCCGCCTCCCTCTGGATGGGGCAGCTAGGCTCCGCCCCATCTTTGAAAAGCTAGTCCTGAACTACCAGAGCAGTGCCAGCTGGAGAGAGAAGGCGCTCTCCTGGCTCAAAATATTCCAAATGGTGAGTAATAAACGAACGGCAGAGAAATCACACTGGTTTAAAAAAAAACACATGGGGGAGGGGCTGATTCTAAGCCTCTGATGGGAGTCCCTCCAGAGCCCTGCTACTTCCTACCCCAACCTTGGGATTCCAGCGCCGCAATCCCAGGAAGGTCTGCCGGCCACCTGGATAAAAGGGGCACCTCCGTCTCCCCTTCCCAGCGCATGGAGGTGCAATAACTTTAAAGGAGGTCCAGGGCTGAAACAGGCTGAGGGGTGGGGCGATTTCCAGGCGGAAGGAATCACCTGGTCAAGTAGCCTAGAGAGGGACCAGGGACAAGGTGGGACCCAACACAGCCAGGCATCTTCAATGGAAAATGCTCTCCTCTGATGGAGCCCAGGACCTCTCTGCCAAGGCCCACATCCTCAGGAGTGCTTCCTAAATAAAATCAGTATCAAGGGTAATAAATCAGAACATCTGAGTATTGTGGGCAGGTCCAGCTACAACCCTACATGGGGAAGGGGTGTGAGGGGGAGGGGGAGGAGGCGGCGCCGGCCTCCTGTGGATCAGGCTCCGGATCCAGGCCCAGGCCAGCGAGGAGAAGGCCATCTCCTGGAATGCACTATGTTTCCTCCCGCCCCTGTCCGGGACTCTGTAAGGACTCGATGTGAGCTAAGACCAGGCCCAGGGCCTGGCACGCTAACTCTACCCAGCTAACCTGGACTACGCCCTACACAGCAGGACTGGGTAATGAGGGGTGGTGGGTAGTGGGCTGCTGGGTGCCTCCCAGGGGAGGGGGCAGAAATGTGCTTCTACAGTGAGGGGCCAGCCTGCGTCCTCCCCAGCATGCAAAGGGGCTTCCGCAGGTCCCGGGGAGGGGAGGGCCGGGCTGGGCCGGGCAGGCAGCTACCCAGGCCTGCTAGAGAAGGAATCTCCCGACTCATACACTCACGCCTCTTCTCACTCTGTTTCTCTCCGTGAGCCAAGGTTACTGAGGCCAGGGCGGTGGATTCTGCCCTTAGCACAGGATGGTTTGTTTAAAAAGACTAAAATTGGGGAGTTCTGTTGCCTCCCCAGACCTCTAGCCTGGAGGCAGAGGGACAGACAAGATGACCTTTGACCTCATCCAACAAGGAGGGATTCTCCTACTTGGGAAGCCCTCGCCTTGGCACCACCAGCCCCAATCTCAGCTTTCTTTAGACTCCCTCTCCAATCCAGCATCCCCAAGATTCAGAGATGGTAAACCCTCTGAGGCTAGGGTTCTTGAAAATCAGGGTCCAACAGCTCCTCCAGCAAAACAAAGACAACACTGTTCTTTCCAGTCTACCAATGGTTTGCAAACTAGCTTGTTGCAATCCCACAGAGCCAGGCCCCCTGGGGGTCTGTGCCAGGCCCTGAGAACCTCCTCCTTTCCTTTGGTCCCTGCTGGACCCCAACTCCTAGAGCCACCAGAAGAGGGGCAGGCAGGAGGGGACAAACAGATGGACTCGAACAGGCTGCGGCAAAGCTCCTTCCACAGGCAGGTGGAGGGAGGCCTGAGCTCCTCTTCAAGTGGGAGGCTCTGGGGCCCCGGAGCTGGCTCCGGATCCTTGCAAAGCTGCCCCATTGGCTACGGGGCAGGAGTAGCTGCCTGAACCCGGTGCCGCAGGAAAGACACTTGCTGGTAATTGGCACCATGGAGATGGCCGCTGGGTTCTGGACTTGGCTCCGGGCAGCGAGCTTCCAAGGAGGCAAAAAGGGGGAGCAGTCGGACAGTGTCTGGGGCAGGAGAATGGTTTGCTCTGCCACCTCAGTCTTTCCTTTCTCCAGATTGCAGCCACATCCACCAGGTCAAGAACTGGCCAAGTCAAAAGTGCAGCCAATCCCATTGGGAGAGGGAAGGTCTCAGGGGGTAGGAGGCAAAGAAGGGGTGAGGAGGGGCCCTGGGGGTCAGGTCTCCCCATTCTGCTTCCCCTCTGTGGGGGAGAACCCCATCCTCCTCCGTTCAATGTGCCCCTGGGCCTGGGGTCCCAGGTCGGGGCTGGGCAGTCTCCAGGCCATCTTGGGGAGCCCCTCCCCATCCCTAGCACTAAGATCGCTCACCACAGGGCCCCACGGTGCTCTCAAGGGACAGCTGGGACGCCTGCCGAAGCAGGGGTCCCGTGGCTGGGTCCACCATGGAGGAGGTGGGGAAGAGCTTGTACCAGCCCACGGCCAGGGTGGTCAAGTCCAGCTCCTCCAGCAGTACGCGGGCCACACCCATGAATTGCTTCCGCTCCATCCGCCCGTAGTTCCCCCACACGATCACCTGTGGGGCAAGAGACACAGTGGTTCAAATCCTGCCAATGCCACTCACAGGCCTGGAACCAGAACCCGGGGTCACCTCCATGCCCGATTCATCCCCAAGTCCTGTGAATTTCACCGCCTGAAAATGGCTCAAGTTCCACCATATTCTTCTGGCTCCAGTGGCACCATTTGAATGACTGGCTTCCTGCCTCCAGTCTTGCCCTTTCTGTTCCATCCTCCAGACACCTCATCTTGGAGCCTAGGCCTTAAAGGCTGACCCTACACTGTGAGTGTCCTACCTGCCCCATGCCCCACCCTCGGCCCTCTACTTCCATCCAGATCATCAAAAACAAAGTTTTTAAAACTGGCTGGTAGGACAGCTACATGTAAATCAAGGAAATTAGAACACTCCCTCACACCATACACAGAAATAAACTCAAAAGAGTTTAAAGACCTAAATATAAGACATGACACTGTAAAATTTCCAGAAGAGAACACAGACAAAACATTCTCTAACATAAATTGTAGCAAATATTTTCTTAGATCAGTCTCCCAAGGAAAGAGATAAAAGCAAAAATAAGCAAATGGGACCAAATCGAACTTAAAAGCTTTTGCACAGCAAAGGAAACCATCAATAAAACAAAATGACAACCTGCAGAAAGGGATAAAATATTTGCAAATAATAGGACTGACGAGAGGTTAATATTCAAAATACATAAACAGCTCATACAACTCAATATTGAGAAACCAAACAATCCATTCAAACAATGGGCAGAAGACCTAAATAGACATTTTTTTCCCAAAGAAGACGTACAGATGACCAACAGGCACATGCAAAGGTGCTCAACACCACTAATTATTAGAAAAACACAAATTAAAACCGCAATGACGTGTCACCTCACACCAGTCAGAATGGCCATCATCAAAAAGTCCACAAACGATAAATGCCAGAGAGGGTGTGGAGAAAAGACTGCCCTCCTACACTGCTGGTGGGAATGTCAAGTGGTGCAGCTATTATGGAAAACAGTATGGAAGTTCCTTAAAAAACTAAAAATAGAGCTACCGTATGATCCAGCAATCCCAGTCCTGGGTGTATATCTGAAAAACACAAAAACTCTAATTCTAAAAGATACTTGCACCCTAATGTTCATAGCAGCATTATTTAGAACAGCCAAGACATGGAAACAATCTATGTGACCATCAACAGATGACTGGCTGAAGAAACTGTGATGGACAGACGGATGGACGGACACACACACACACACACACACACACACACACACACACACACAATGGAATATTATTCAGTCATTAAAAAGAATGATAATGTCATTTGCAGCAAATGACCAGAAGGGTTTTTCCAAACTTTTTTGACAGGTATACACAGTAAGACAGATATTTATGGTGAACATATGAGATTCATAACTGAAGCAAGTGCCCCACCAAATAAGACTTACCTTACTAGGAGTGAGAAATGTTCTTTCCAAGTCCTATTTCCAATTCCATTCCATTAAAAAAAAATACTTGTTGAGACCCACTAAATCGATTTCACAACTCACTAGTGGGTCTCAGTCCACAAGTTGAAAGACTACCCTACACAGGACCTGGGCTTCCCAGTTTGGCAAAAGTCTCCCTGTCTTGGTGACTTACAACACCTTAGCCCTACTCTTGTTTGCTTTGCTCACCCAGGTTAGGAGCAAGAAACTGAGGTACAAGCCAGAGGTGCCCAGCAGCAGCTCTGAGAGAGCAGGCACATGGCTCCTGCAGGCATCCAACCAGGGCCCTGCCCTACCCATGATGGGCAGCTGTTTCCAGCTCCAGGTTTGAGCAACCACTAGCATCCTCCTAAAAGCAAGAGAGCCAAAGACCTCTCTGGATCCTTCATAGACTTTCAGCTTTTATCAGTGTGTTCCGTGCCAACTCCCTGGCCTCCAGAGGTTGGTGATGGTGATGATCTTGGTAGTGGTGATGATGATGGTGGTGGTGGTCGTGATGATGGTGGTGGTGGTGATGATGATGATGGCAGCCAGTTGTAGAGCACTGACTACAGGTCAAACGTCCAAATGCTCTTCTTGTACAAAGCACACATTCTGCTGTCACGGTAATGTTATCAGTGGGTAATATTTGTATCCCCATTTTACAGATGAAGAAGCTGAGGCTCAGAAGGGAACTTATTCAAAGTCACACAGCAAGGTATGTGCTCAGATCAACTACAGTGCTCTACTTCCTCTAGATCAGGTCCTGCAGAGACCCACGCCCCAGTCTCTAGGAGCACCTCCTTCACCCCCTGGTACTGCACTCTGCACCCCCATGCCCCTCACCTGCAGAACTTTGCCCTGGGGACTCTCGGGAAACAGCAGCACCTGGTTATACAGCGGGTCCAGTGACTTGCGAGCGACTTTGGTCTTCTTCTTAGCAATGCAGACGCCATTCTCCAGCAGATAGGCCTTGATGTAGGCCGCTGGGGACAGAGGCCAGCAGGGTGAGTTCTAATCTGAGCCCCAAATGGTGGGCAAAGGGTGCAGCAGAGGGACCCACTGCTGGGGATCGGAGTGCCCCTATAGGGTCTGAGAAGGAGGCAACAGGGGCGGGTGGGGGTGGGTGGTGGAGTGCAGCCAGGGTTGGGTGGGGCCTACTCTACCCACTTGGGTCGTGCTGCCTGCCTCCCGCTTCCTTTGCTCACCCTGTCCCCTCTCCCAGTCCCTGGCTTGCCCACCCTCTCTGGCTTACACATTCATGGCTGACTCATTCACTCAAATGTTTGCTAAGCACCCATGGTGAGCCATGTGCCCTATCAGGTAGAATCATAAAACAAGAAAAACGGTCCCTGCCCCCCAGGAACTCAGTCCAGTCTGGGACGCCAACAGGGTCAACCAACAATCTCAACTGGGTCCCAAGAATAAATCCTACATCACTAATTATATGTGAGTCACTAGCTTTGGGATTGCGGGATCCCCCACAGTTGGACCCAATTTTCTCTCTTCTAGACCCAGGTAACCTCAGGACATCCTCCCTGACCTCCACCCCCACCCTGCCAATGGGAGGGCAGCCCCCACACCTGGCAGTGTCTTGGAGCCTGGCTTGGCCGTCAGTCCCCGAGCCTGGATGATGTCCACCTCGAGCTGACCATTCCGCTCCTGCAAGCCGATCTCCACGTCCCCTGCAATGGGCCCTGAGTGATGAGCCTCGGAAGTGGCTGGGAAGCTCAGTCAAAGACTCAGCTCCTCCTCTCTGCTGAGGGATGATGTCCCCTCCCCCTGCTCCCAGCCCCAGACAAGACCATAACCAATCCCCACACCAAGCGCCTGGGCTCTGCCGAGCACCTGGCAGGTATGAAATGGGCTCCAGGTTCGGTGCTCAGCAGATGGAGCTAAGGCAGAGGGGAAGGAAGGAGAGACACAGGGCTTCTGGTGGGACCCCCTCCTCCATTTGAAAGAGGCCCTGGGGCACTTACCCATTGGCGTGGTGGCCAGGGTCTGGCGGCCCACAAACTGTGCTGGCCCCATGCTGCCCAGGAAGTCACTGAACTGGGCATCCGATGCCAGACAAACTCCCCCATAGTTAAGACTGCAAAAAGGAAGAAATGAGACAAAAACAAACGTTCCTAAGGGCCAACTGAGGACTCTGATGACTCAGGCAGTCAGCTCCAGAATGTCCCTCATTCCACAGCCATTCTGTCCACATCCATCACCCTGCCTCAGGCAGACTGGTGTCCTGTCGCTGCCTCCTTCTTACTTTAATGGCCCTAAACTCTCAGCTCTGACTCCAAAGTTCTAGGACTTAGCTTCTGTGTCCTGTACCTTTCTCCTACCTCTTCTTGCCAAGCCTCAAGTTCCCCCTCCATGAAATGGGTATGGTGACATCCGCCTCTTGGAGTGGCTGTAGGACTTGTGGGAGGTGATGCTTGTCAGTGCCTGGCTCCTATGATTAATGCCATGATACTCAAAGTGTGGTCCAGAGACCTGCAGCATCACCCAGGAGCTAATTAGAAATAGAATTGCTCCTCAGCCCACCCCACCACGCACCCCCAGCTGCTGGATCAGAATCTGCCTTTTAATATGAGCCCCAGAAGACTCATTTGCACTGGACAGTTTGAGACGCACAAGGCCAGCACCTCAGCCTTGGAGGTTCGCATTTGTTCTTGCTATGCAATTGCCCAATGTCCACTCCCTTTGGGAACAAGACTTCAAATCTCCTTAGGGAGCCTCCTCCCCAAGGCAATGATTCCTGTGGAGCAGAGCATGGCTCCAGAGGCTGATATGGGCTCAGTCTGGCCAGTAAGGCCATGCCTTCCTTGGCCAGTGACTGGCTCAGAGTTGGGCATGCGGCCCAACAAAGTCCACAAGAATCTGGCCAGGAAGCTTTCTTTGAACTGTAGGAAATGAGAAGCTCGTTTCCCATCTAATCTGAACCTGAGACAGAAAACTGGAGCCTCTGGCAGGTCTTCTGCTACCATCTGGAGCCCATGAAGGAAGCCAACACACTGGTGACACTGCATGAGCTCCTGGATCAAACTCTGCCTGAAGCAAGATATTTCATCTTTTTTTGTTGTTGTTACATAATTCAATAACAACGACAACTATTATATTATTATTATTATATTATTATTACTATATTATTTTGCTGAAGCCAATTTTAGTTAGTTTTTTCTTACCCATCTCTGAAATGGGAATACTAATGTTCCCACCTCTAGGTCTGCTGTAAGTATTATATAAGATCAGACACTAAGTACCATGCCTGGTATACCCCTATTATCTTCAGGACTAAAACACTCCCAACACATTTTCTCATCAGATTCTCACCACAACCAAAGGAGACAGGTTTTTTTGTTTTTTTTTGTTTTTTTTTTACTTTTATCAGCATTATTCAGATGAGGAAGCAGGTTCAGCCCAACCTAAAGCCAGAACTCACAGGGCAGTCAGCACTTGAAAACAACACTTCTAATGCCAACCTCAGGTGACTCCCCATCTGGGCACATCCCAGGAGTAACAGCTAACTTTGAACAAGCAGATACTGTGAGCTGGGTTTCACCACAGCAGCCGGTGGGGTGGGGGTTCTTTAAGCAGGAGGGGGAGCCTACCTTGGGTCTCAAGGGCACTGTACACTTTGTTCCCTGCTCTGAGAGCACACCCCTAACCTGCCCCCAGCTCCTTTCTTGGGGAACCTGCTAGACTCTCAGTCTTGAAGGAGCTGGAGGAGGAGCATCCAAGGGAGGTGGGGTCTCTGGCTCCACCCCAGGTGCCCCCTTCTGCTTCTGAACCACTCTGCTAGGCTATCCTTTCCCCAGTTCTTCAGAAGGAACAATTCAAGCATGGTCTTCTCTGCCTGCACCCAAGTCTTCACACCCTAGACATGCTGCCTGGTGCTTGAACCACATCTCTCTGTCTTTATACCTTATTGTTTACTCACAAAACCTCATAGTTGGCAAAGGATTCACCCACTTGCTCTGCAAATAGTTACAGGAAGGTAACTATTTGCAGCACTCTAACCCAGCACACTCCCTGTTTCATAGGTTGGAAGACTGAGGCCCAGAGTGAGAAAGACAGTTGCCTGAGGGCTGTGTGATGGCAGTGCCTGCTGCTATACCAGGCTGCTGCCCAATTCAAGTCACCCAATAGTATGTACACTTTTACGTATAAAACTCCAAGCGAGCTGTGTGAAGAGACACGAGTAGACCCTGTGCACAAAGAACTTACCATTTTGTTGGGCAAATATGTTGCTTGCAAAGAAACAACTAAAGAAGACAATAGTCTTCTTACAAGGCACAACAGGGCCCCTACCCACCCACCTCGGGTTGTGAGAGCCCAGGGGCTATCAGAAGAGAACAATCACTGCTGGCTGCAGTGGTCTAGAATGGACCAGGATGGACCAGGAAAGGAGACTCTGAATTGAGGGCAAAGCATATACAAGGTCCAGCAACAGAGGAAGATGAAGGAAGGTAACTTTCCACATACTATCTTTTCTCTTCCCCCACCAGAATCATCAGCAGAACGTCCTGAGGTCCTCAGGATGGTGAAGCCACAAGCATAAAGGAGCCTGGTGAGAAGCAGGAGAGAGTAAGTCCTTCCCTCTCTCCAAGGAGGGTAATGGAGACAAGGCAGGGACAAGAGAGTCTAGTTCAGGACCTTGGAGAGGGCCTACGTTGCAGGTTTATACAATGTCATAGAACACAGGAAAGGATAGAGCCGCGAAGGAAAGAGGGAAGTCAACTCTTCTAGACTTTAAGACGTTGAGGACAAAAGGGTTGTATTTATCCATGGATGATTTATCATAGTAAAAATAAAAACAATCTAAATATCTGGCAACAGAGAAATTATAAACATGTATTGGATTATTAAAAAAAAAAAGAATAAAGGAGCCCGGCTGAGTGCAACAACCAGAAACACCTGCACTGAAGTTTGCATGAGCAAGAAATAAACGTTTGTATTAAGTCACTGACTGAAGGAGTTGGTTATAGCAACTGGTTTGACTTAAACTAATTCAGTGACCCTGTCCCCTGGCCAGAGCTGATGGATCCCGGGACAGACAGCTGACCCAAGTTCAGTCAAGCAAAGACTCTCACTAGGAAATAAAAGAGAATCCTGGAGACAAAAAGTCATGAGAACTGAGCCATGTGAATGGCCTGCCCTCGTAGAGAGTCCCAAACTACCAGCCACCTAGTCCTGGCCACCCAGTTCTTTCCTCAGCCATGTGAGATGTCCCAGCATCATTCCAATAAATTCTGTTTGGACTTACGTTACCAGCAGAGTTGATGGCAGGGTAATACTTTGAGGTTTCAGTCTGAGTGCTTTTTTGTTTTCATGATTTCCTGTTACCCTTTCCCCACTCAGGCAGGAGCCAGGATGCCCTAAGGTCCACCGCCAAGGGATGACCCAGTAGGATGCAGAGAACAAGACAGTCAGATTCTTGGCTTTTCAGTTTAAAATCTAGGAAGAAGCAGTCTTGGGAGGAGAGGTGCAAAACCAGGTTGTCTGCCCCCCAATAAACAAATCAACCCCAAATTCCCAGCCTGGGAAAGCAGAGGGAGTCAAGGAGGGAGGAGAGAGAGCTGAGAAAGGTCTGGGTCTTTGGGCTGGACTGGCAGTGCTTGGGGATGATGGGAAACTCCACAGAGGTTTGGAGAATCTGAAAGCAGAGCGGACTAGGGCCTGTCCTTACTGGGTGGAGCTGAGAAAAGGGCCCGATGCTTTGCGGAAATGATGCCAAATGCCTCGTCAAGTGAACCCGGAGTGCCACTGAGGTTCTGTGTGTCCCTCTGTGCCCTAAGGGAGCATGTTCCCACTGTATCTGAGACAGAGCCAAACCAAGACAGGCAGAGTAGTATTGGAAGCCAGGCAAAGCTTCTGAATCTATTATCTCTACAATAATGCGAGTATTACAGAGAAAGTATGGAAAAAATAACTCAGATATCTGAGGATGGAAACGGGTACCCAGTATTCTTGCAAATCCGAAGACCCTTAGTTAACAGCACCAAAGCTAAGACCTAGACTCTCCCACAGCTTATGACCTGGCCTTTCCTCCACGCCCCCATCTCTTTCCACCCGATTCCCGTGGCCACCCGAGGGTCCGGGATCCATTCTGCTAGGAGGGTGCGGGCTCCAAAAGCCCGAAAAATGGCGATGCCTCTCGGGTTCTAAGGCACTAAAGGGGCTCAGCCTCCCAGGCAAAGTAAGGCCTGCTGCAGCCTGAAATTGAAAGCTTCCTCCAACATCGTCATTGTCTGCTCCTCAGTTCCTGGTGGGACTGCGAGCAGACAATGGGGAACTGGCAGGCCTGGTAATTAGCGGTAATTGTTTATAATATCTGGGCGGCTGCCTGATTTCCTATCCCAGGGTGCCTTGCCGGCTGCCAAGGAACCAGACTGATGCCCCAGAATCCCTGAACGGGTTGTCCCACCCTCCATGGGGCTAGAGGAAGAAGAATTAAGTGGCGGTACGTCCCTGCTGGCCAGAGGACCAACTGCATCAGAGATCCCGCTCCACCTTGAGGTCTTCCCTGGAAAAGGATGGAAGGCAGAGGATACAAGTCAGACCTGATTCTATTCCTCACTGGTCAAGCCCTTGCTGTGTGACCTCTGGCAAGCTGCTGGTATCTCTGCATTTGAATCTTCTGATCTGCAAATAAGCCCACACCTACCCTAGGGATAGTGTGCAGCCCTTCCACTGATGGGTGCCTATGCTATACTGGTTTTAAATGTTTTGAAAATCTCTGCTCATAGGATCCATTCCCAAAGGGGTAGGAAAGATCATGCTGAATTACTAAGTACCACACACTTGCTACTGCTTAGATCATGCCTTGTATGCAGTAGAAACTCATTAAATGTTTACTGCCAAACCCTTAGGCTGGTCCCAAACTGGGAAAATATACTGGTTAAGACTAGACTTTGGCATAACACAGACCTGGCGTTCCAGTGCTGTGCACCCTGGGGTAAGTTTGGTAACGTCTCTGAGTTACATGTTAAAAACGAGAATAGACTGGAATCGTCTGTCTGAGTTGTTGGGGAGAGTCAATAGGATAACACAGGCAGGGTGCTTAGCACCTGGCCTGGCACATAACATCTCCTGAAT